AAGACTGACCAAGAATAGCTGGGGCACAGGGTGGGGAGGGGAGGTGGGGGTGGGCAGGGCAGAATCTCTGAAATAACAGCACTGAATGAATCTTGAAGTTACCAGATTTGTAACAGGTGACAGCAGGGAAAATGGAAACTGGCAGAAGGGAAAAGAGCACAGAAGCACGGGTATAGAACTAGAGCAAGAAGTGGAGAACTAGTAAAGAATAAACTTCCAAATTATTCTAATAAAGAGAGCAGCCAGAAAGAAAAAAAGATAATCCAAAAATACTTGGTGCAAAGCTATCCTAACATGCCATTTACTCCCTTGTACATAATCCTATGAAAAATGTACAAAACCATGTGAGCAATAAAGATATAAGCCAAAACTAATCACTGAAATCAGCTCCTGTTGTTACAGTCCATTCTTCATAGAAATAAACAGATTTTGATAAAGATTTTTACACTTACAAATAAATTCTCAAAGGAATCTGAAAACTTGAAGAAAATTCATTCACAACAAACACTGGAAACACCCAAAGATAACAGATTCTGTACAGTTCATATTGATCATCTCTTCATTTAACTTTGTAATAGAAGATGACAAACTTATATTAATGAAACCGTGATAACATGTTCTCTCTAACACATTTTTATTCGATAAGCTCCTTGGAGAAGTGAGCATCTTTACCAAGACCAGAGACAGACATATCATTTAGCTTTCCTAACATAATAGCTGGAAATTTAAGCTAAGTGTCTCATGACAGTCTGATGAAAGCCGAAGCAATCAGTATTTTGATATCAATGCCAATCAGTAAGCTGTTCTGTTTGAACCATCGCATTAGAGATCAGTGTGAAACTAAATGTAAACTCTGAACACAAATACAAGAACTTACAGCATCAGATGTTTGTTTACTAGTCCCACATTTCCCCTGGCATTGGTAGAGGAGTTTTCAATATTATGAATATGCATTCAAGAGCTCACTCATAAAACAAATGCCAACTTAACTGCAGATTTAAGGATCTCTGTTTTCCTAGCATATTACATACAAGAAACCAGCTAATAACAAGATGTGGGACAGACGTCAATCTGCTCCTGCTGCATCTGAAGTTGTCAGCTACTTGTTAACAGAGTCAGTAATACACCATCCATCCTTAACCATGATACTCTCCTGGACCGCTCTCCAGTTCTGCTAGCATTAAAGCCTTTATTTTAGTGGCAGTAAATGAAACAAATAATTCTAATTTCTTGAAAAAGTCCATAATCTTAACAAAAATAGTTCCATGAAGTCTAAAGATTGAGACCTTATGAAACACTATCTCTGCTTTCAATAAATTATTCTCAAATGTACATTAAAACATACAGTGCCACTCTGAACTTAATGACTAAAAAGAGATACACTATGGATTTAGGTGATTCTAAACTGAAGCACAATCAATGCAATGTTAATATTTCATCATGAGTTTAGTAAGAAAATCCAGAATTAAGGAAAACCATCCCCTTTTCACAGTGTAGATTCAGTCATCCATAAATGTGCACTTTATCTGACTTTTTCTATAGTTTTGAAATGCAAGTCTCATGTGGAATAGAGACCCTGTCTTCAAACATAAAGCTCCAATGTTTCCTCAAATATGAGGAAACCTTGAACCCGAATTCAAATGGTTTGACTTTCATGTTCTAAGTAACTGAACTTAGTTTCCCTTTCTGCTCTCTCTCTTTTCTTACGTATACTTCTCTCCCCTCTAACCCTCTTCTAATCTTTCTTTCCTGATTATCCCCATGTCTATGTTCCTTTATTCCCCTCTTCAAGTAATATCTTTACCTACAGCACATGAATGATGACTATGGCACTGTTTTCCTTAAGAAGCATAGTAGTATATTAAAATCTAAATAACTGTCCTGGTTTCAGCTGGGATAGAGTTAACTGTCTTCCTAGTAGCTGGTACAGTGCTATGTTTTTGAGTTCAGTATGTGAAGAATGTTGATAACACTGATGTTTTCAGTTGTTGCTCAGTAGTGTTTAGACTATAGTCAAGGATTTTTCAGCTTCTCATGCCCAGCCAGGGCACCTGACCCAAACTGGCCAACAGTGTATTCCATACCATGGGACGTCCCACCTAGTTTAGGAACTGGGAAGTGGGGGGGCGGGGAATCGCCGCTCGGGGACTGGCTGGGTGTCGGTCGGCGGGTGGTGAGCAATTGCCCTGCGCATCATTTGTAC